CCTTGTAACAGCGACTGCTCTTATCTCACCGCCCGATTTCCTGTTCAATACTAAGTGACCATTTTTACATGTTCTAATATGCTTTGCTTAGCGTTTTCAGGATGTTCTTGGCAATGTTAACATAGATGGAGGGGCCAGGCGAACTGGTGAGAACTTTTACATGATCCCCCTATCCCACCAATTTTGTGTATGGTGTACTTCATCAACTGTTTACATTTGCTTTGGCCTTTTTCAATCGTTTTCCCGGTTTTGTACGGGTTTTCCTCATGGGTTTTGTCCACTTTTCCATCGTTTTTCCTGTTGAAACGCTATATTCATGTCGATGGTACATCGAGAAAGCAAAAGAAAGAAAGTGAACAAACAAACATAGTATAAACATCATCCTTGACAGTGCACCTACGTGGTACTGAAATCGGGAGATGGACATGGACACACTATAAGAATGTCAAAAAACCGCTACATGGAAAGATAGGGGCCTTCCTAAGGAATAAATCCAAGATCACTCCAATTCGCCTAAGGCTCAGTCCGCTTGTAACAAAAAAAGGTATTTGACGCGGTTTTAAAAGCGTTGCCAACGCGGTGCCCCCGTTTCTTAAGATAGCGCCGTCAAGAAAGTTGTAAACATTCAAAGAGACGTCATCTGCTTGGCAAGACACGACAACAAGAGTAACACTTTGAAGTAAACTGAAACAAACAATCAGAAAATATTCTTTCCTGAGACGCCAAGTTTTGAAGGTGATAAGAAGATGGCCCGGGAATCGATAACGAATCACTAACGAAGCAAACACGTAAACAAAGAGATACACCTCACTGGTTGACAATTCAAAACGTTTCCAGGCTAGGTATTCAAACAAGGCCTGCACATCTCGTCATGTTGTTGCAATGAATTTCGCTTCTCATTTGTTTTTGCCTACTTCCTTGATCCACCATCAAAAAGCTTGAGATTTCCTGCACCAACCAAACAAGACACCACACTCGATTTTTTTCGCCGCTCACGTCGTTGAAGAGAATGGGGGAGGGGGTATTCAAGTGATTGAGCCACTTAAAACACTTGTGAATGGGCCTTAGGAGGAAAGAGATCATGAGGGTCGATGTGAGCAATTTTTGTTTTCCTTGGCGTTTCCCTCCTGTGTGTATGGCTACCGGTTTTGAATGTTCACCCATGGCCATGAGCGCCGTTTTTTCCAATCAAATATGCATTTTTGAGTTGATAAAGCGTCAAGGTCCCAGGCACTACTTTTAAGATACCCTTCCAACAACTTGACTGATGATCAGGGGCCGTATGCCATCCTCCCCGAAGAGGTTGGGGGACGAAAAGTCCTTTAAATTTTCTCTGTCTTCCCATCTGGGATTGCCCTGATAAAGGATACATTTAATGTATGTATGTAGGTAAAAGTAAACATGCACTGAAAATGAAGAAACTATATCGTTCAAAACAAATAAATTTAAAGGAAACTTTGGATCACTTAGCTTCGGGGAAGCATAGCATACGGACTCAGGTTTAAAGCAAACGTGGGCATAAATCTCATTAATGACTTACAACTAAATGTTGACCTGAAGCTATATCTACCTTCCTCTCGAGGTATAAGGATAAGAAAGGCTTAGAGAAGGAGGAGGAGGTAGAGAGAGAAAAAAAGAAATAAAGAAGGAAAACCTCTTTTATCTCCTTAGCTTTCCCAATCAAGGCCAGCTCAAGAAAAACGCACTAACTAAGCGTGCGTGCGTGTAACGAGGAGAAAAAAACGTGGTGAAAGGAACTGACACTATAGAAAATGATTTCAAAGGGTTTGATGCTCCCGAGGAGAATAGTACACCTGTCCCCCTATAATGAATCGCCATTCCAAACTCAAGCTTTTCGATCAACTTCACGATAACTACTGCCACACGTCTTGACCGATGCCGGGTACCGGGTTCTTATTTATAAATTTGTAACCTTTCAAGATGCGTGGCTTCAGCAAACACGAATTTAAAGAGGGTAAATTATCAAAAAATATAAATAATAAGCAAACGAGAACAAAAAGAGGAAGAAACAAATACCTGCTGAGAACCTGGATTAGCGTATGAATGACGATAGTAGTCACTTTCAGCAGCATACAAAGCTCCATAGGGATTAGGAAACGTCGCTTTTTCAACGTATGTAGTTACCTCAGGATGAGCGTAAGGCAATGCGTATCCAATCCCCTACAATTCAATTAAATAAACACATTTTGTGAAGAAAATTTTTCAAAAAACCGTTCAGACAACATGTTGAAAAAGAACCTGTGAATTTTGAGGTACAGTAGCTTGATTCCACGCACCCATCGTGTTAGCGTGATAACCAGCGTAAGAGTGGTTTGGATACATATGTGGGGTTTTACGCTAAAATAACACAGATAGAAAAAATCGCTTTGAAAACTATTCGGTCCATGCAACCGCTAAAAACAAAAAATTAAAATGCTTCGCGATTGAATGATCATCAAAATAGTTCATATTGACAACGACAGAACGCGATATAACGAAATCATCTTGTGTAGAAAAGCAGTTACAAAACAAAACTACTAGATAGTACATTCCGTGACAAGTGATCAGAGTACGCATGACGATCCTGAAGCACACATCATCTCTCTTCCTCAACCTCAATAAACCCTCTGGAATTGCAAAATAACTCGCGCAACTCCTTCAATATTTGACAATGCTTGCCAAAAATTCAACGCGGACACCCGATAAACCCTAAAAAACCTAAATTTTTAAAACGGCAGCTGTAGAAAAATGTGTGAAAATGCGTGCTTTGCAGGTTACAGTACATCCCTGATAATCAGGCGGTTCCGCTTCACGATTCGGTCGTGTTTACATCGCAATTTGTCACAAATGTCCTACAGTGATAAATATTTTTAATTTAGCAGCAGTGTTTACATCTTAGTGTGAGTTGCGACTACTCAAACATTCAGTTTGCTCTTAAAGATTTATTTTTTTGGTGGGAACTTCTGAGTGTTCCGCTAATGTCGCCTTCGTTCCTCACCCAAATATTTATGGTGCAATTTGAGAGTTTTGAGCCATGCAAAAGTCTATAATGAATGTTCTTCGTATATGCTCATCTTTCTTCTTTTTGGACCGGTCTTTGTCACGAAATACTTTTAAGAAAATGTAGAAATGTGATATTGAGTTATCCATTTATCGACCGCCGATATTTCTCAAAAATATCCCGTGGTAGAAGTTTTGCATCACGACGAGATATGCTGATAATCTCAGGTGGAGCTGGAGGTGCAGAGCAA